GTAAATGTACGTTTTGGGATTCCTGCAGCAGGAACCTGCAAATTCCTGCCACATAATCACAAATATGCCATTTAAAAGCAGCCGGTGTCTTCCCGTTTGAGTTAATGGTCAGATGACAGAGGGCACATTTGAAAGCAGCATTCCGAGGTCCCGACGGCCTTCCTGTGAATTGCGGTGGCTGTTTACAACGCCGGCTGGAAATCTCCTCTTTCTCTACGCCGCTGCCTGCACCTGCCAGGACCCTGGTAAGAGCCCTCACAGCTCAGCATATCCCCCACACAGCCCAAAATATCGCCTGCACAGCCCAGCCTAGACCTTGCATAGCCATCTGAGAGTCTGCAAAGCCCACCTGAGCCTGCACCTGTGGAAATAAAAATGGGAACAGCTTAAAAAGCAGTGTAGTGTCACACTTACATACAAAGCACAAAAACCAGAGAATAGCTTTCCAATGTGTAAATCATATCATTTGCTTCGTCTGAAACTCCTTTGTGGGCAAGGTGAGATGTGGCTGTTTCTATTTTCTCCATGACCGATTTGTTGGCCCCCTATAACTAAAAACAACTATTTTGTGCTCCTAACATAAGTCTGCTCACTAACCTTTGGCTTGATTCACAGGCAGGAGGATGGTTTTCCCAAAAGGCTCCATAAAACTTATACTAAGCAGTTATTTTAGGACACATTATGCTCGTCTCAATGGTGAGGGAGCAGTCTGCCTCTGCTTTTCACACATCCTAATCAAAATCAGCTAGATAGAAGTTAAGGCCGCCCCTGTCAGATGGATGCCTGCAGCTTTTCAAAGCCTTCTGAAATTGAAAAATGCCAGATCGATTTTTGATCTTTTCACACGCATCACGTTACAAATGTAATCTGTTGAATGGGCATGGTAGCACATTATGTTTTCAAAGCTGGACTACTGCTCGGTATAAAAAAAGACACCACAGTCATGTAGAGTGACTTGTACAAGTATTCATCCTCATTGAATTCTCCAACATTTTGTAATATTACAACCTGGAATTAAGTCAAATAAATGGTATTTATGTCACTGCTCTGCACAATTTAGATTATAACGTTGAACTGTTGTCTTGATTGCTCAACCCCCTCTCGCCCCCAGTCTGTATATGAATGTTCCCTTGCACAATGCCCCATGCAGAGGGTGTGTTTTTATATGTACAGCTGCAGCGCCCTGTGGAGATCACTCTTGACTGCACTGGGGGCCTGAAAGATTTATTTGGTAAGCACTTTGAGTAAAACGTAGTTCCCATCAATTCATAGGCATGATGAACTCTTCCACTGCCATTATCGGAGCTATTATGGTGGTAGAAGGAAGAAAACAAACCTGCATCAACAGGATTTTTTTTGTTTACTTGTATCATGCCCATGATCTTTTTCAACAACCCACTCCTAATGCTACCCGCCGCAGAATGGCATTTTGATAGATATATAATGACATATAAACAATTGGGCGGAGCTAGCATTGACAGCTTGCTCCGCCCAACAGTTTAAAGTTGTAACAGGTGAGCCATGATTGGGCAAAGTCATCGTGCCCAATCATGGCTCTCACTGTTCTCTGTGCCCTGATTGGGCGCCTGTGGTCAGGTGCAAGGCTTGAGCCGATCAGGGCTTACAAGGCACAGTGCCGTGTGAGAGGCGTGGCTGGCGAACAGCCCGCCGAACACCCTGACAGTTCGTGTGTTCGCCGAACATACAAACTGCCGATGTTCGAGTCAAACTCACATTCGGCTCGAACATCGAGCCCATCACTAATGGCCGGAAGTGAGAAAAAAAAATGTAGGTGTCGAGCAGGAAAGATCACAGTCCAACATGGCTCTTTGCAGCAAGAGAAACAGCATGGGGATGCTTCCTCAATGCTGCATGGTGGGAACTCCAACCTTTGCTGTTTTGCAGACCTAGAGCTGCCACTGGTTTCAGACATATCATATGGGTGTGTCAGATGCCATGTTTGCTGCTGCATGCTGTGTCACTACAGGACACAGTAGTGTTTTGCCAGTTTATTAGTGGAACCACAGCACACAGCAGGTACCATTTTTACTGGTCAGGTGGCAGTCCTGGGTTCCAGAGAAGAATAGACTTTGTTATAGTGCCACCACATTTCTGTATGTCTTATATACTACTGCTTGTTAATCTATGCTTATGCTATCCACATAAAATACTAGGAGTATATATTATTATATATCATGCAATTACACCAAAACTACACACTAATTTGTCAACTGAAATCTGTGTAAAATACACATTTGGAATAAAAAAAACAAAACAAAAACAAACAGGAGGAATGGATTCTCCCCGAAGGGTCTCCCTGCACTGACAGGTACATGTAGGCTGGCATCCTTCTGAAAATGCTAGTAGCCTCGGTGTCTCTGACTTCTCAATGTCAATAATCGAGAACAAGCATGCATCAAGGAAAGTCTGCATGCTCATTTTCACCCAGATATAATCTGCATGACGACCTTGCAACTAGAATTTTCATGGGAGGTCAGCAATGACAGCCACATATTTATCCCAGTATAGCCATACTGGAAACTGCAGTATCTGATTCTGCATACAATGCCACCTGCTGATGAAATATGATACTGCAGCTCCTTCATTCCAATATAATGGTGTTCTTTGATCATACTTAATATGAAAAAGGGACAGATTTAGTCCTGTAAACAATGCAGTGAACATTTGGGCACAGACTGTGTATAGGGTGACTATATGGGCAACTCCCAATACCAATTGGGAAACTAAATGAGTCTTTTAAAACCTTTAATTAAATCAACTTTGGTAAGCCTGTTTCAACAGAGGGTGGCCTTGTACTCTTTATCCGTTAAAATGATTTACTCTATAAGAGATTTGAGGACTGTTTGAAAACGCGTCAAGGCAAGTGGCCATTATAGCCTGCGGAGCCATTTTTTTTTGCCTGTGGAATGGGCTATCTTCACAGTCATTATGGAATATACTACCTATGAGCCATATATATGCAAAGATGTCTGCCTTCAGGAAACGAGGTTTCACCTCTGAACAATCCAGTGTCCATTAAGAACCGGGATCTGGGTGAGAATCATACAATACATATGCTCTATACGTGGAACAGTGAGCTTATAGATGAATATTGAATATAATGCATTACCAGATTTCTTTTGTGAAGTGTGATATAATATAGCACCTTGAAGGATTGGATGCACACTGTGGGACAGGGAATTCCAGCCCCTCAGGATGTGTGGCATACTGTGAATCCCCTGATTGAATACATATGACAAGGTCGTGTCATGACACAACAGGA